AAGCAAATCAGTTGAAATTATATTCCAGCAGCTACGATAAACCGACCCTCCAAAACCATCCACACCAGCGGCACTATCTTCACTCAAATTAAAAACAGCCTCCCTCACTTCTTTCAAGTCAACCGGTGCTAGAAACATGGCATTGTCCTGATCATCTACTGTCACTGGAATGTCCTCCAAAAAAGACATTTGCGCCTCATCCCTCCCCTCACAAGACTCCTCAGTCAATAACTTCTGAAAGAATTGCGTTGCTTCCTCTTCAATTCGGTCCCGATCCTGCAACCATATACCCTCCTCTGATTAAATTTTATGAATTCACATTCTCGATCTCTGTCCCACAAGAGAGGCATGAAAAGATTTTGTATTCGAATCCCCTTCTTTCAACCATTTCAAACGCATTTTCTGCTTCCAATAATCATCATGTTCCTTAAGCCGGGAAAGGAGAGTAGCTTTAGCCCTTTGCATATTAATACGACCCTCCTCCGTTGGATTCGCATTATATGCATTTTCTAAGATTTGCACCCTTTCCTCCGCAGCTTTAAGGTTATCAAAAACATTACCAAACACATTTTTATTCCATTCTTTCAAAACACTTTTCAGTCTCCGAAGCTTTAAAGAAAACCGAAGCATTCCATACCCTTCGCAAGGCTCCTCCCAAGAATTACGTACAACATCCATAAAGCCAGAATGATGGATCCACATGTTTTGAAATCTAAACAACCTCGGCCTCCCCTGAACTTGCTGCAAAAATTGATGAAGTGGACCATGATCCGATGTTGTCCGATTAAGATGCTCTACCGTAGAAACCGAAAATAGAGCCTGCCATTCCGTTGAAAAAAGAACACGATCAAGCTTCTTCCTGACCCAGCCCGTTTGCCTTGTACCTGTTGGGGATTTATCCAGAGGAGAAAACCCGACATGGAGCCCAATAAGTAAGATAAGACCCATCTGAACTTGAAAGCTCAAGCTAATGGGTTCTAAGTCCGCCTTATTTATTAACTGATTCACATGTCATCATGCCTCCGATGTGGGATTCACAATTTTTGCCGCATGACCCTCAACATTCTCCCCCGTCATGGGCAATCTCCACATCGGGCTTCCAAATTATCTTAACAAGCCCAAATCTGTACTCCACATGAGTAACTGGGCTGCCCATCCCTACGTTTCCGCTTGTAATGGGCCTTTGACTGCTTGGCCCAACCTGAGCTCTGATACCATTGTTGTGGCGGAAAAGGTATATACACAACAAACCAGCGGAAACGATTCCCAAGAAAAACTCCTTTCCTACTAACAATAGAATAGGACAACCAACCAAATAAGCAACTAACTCAAGAACTGATAAAGTAAAGTAGACACACAAATTTACGTGGAAACCCAAATCAGGAAAAACCACGGGACTGTAACAACAGTCAAATCTCCACTATCACCATAATGGGAAAACAGTCTTCACCAACCGGTGGATACACAGGACTTCACCTAAAGGTGGATTACAACAACACTCTTCCAAAACACCTATCACAGAGTAGGACTGGAAGGACCTAACCAAAAGAGAGTTAAATCAAAAATTAAACCCTAGCTTTCTTTCTTTTTTCTTTCTCGTACAAAAACAATGCACGACTGCCTAAACTTTTCTTCTCTTCTCTGCTGGAAAAACTTTCTTCTCTACAGGATCCCAAAGTCTGTACCCAAAATCATCATTTCCATACCCTAAGAATACACACTGCTTGGATTTGCCATCAAGCTTCGACCTTTCATCTTTGGGAATATGAACAAAGGCACGACAACCAAAAACTTGCAAATGCCTAAATGAGACATCTTTCTCTGTCCAAACTCGTTGTGGTAGATCATCATCCAACGGAACTGAGGGAGATAGGTTGCATGGCTTAAAGTTGAACAAGAGACTGGCAAGAACATTTAGGCAGCTGCTGTCTGCATGGCTTCACCCCAAAAACATTTAGGCAGCTTTGCATTCGAGTGCATACACCTAACCTTTCCGGTAATAGTTTTGTTCATTCTTTCTGCCACGCCATTCTGCTACGGAGTCTTCGGAACACTCTTCTGATGTTTAATGCCATGGTCTCGGCAATACTTCTCAAATGGACCCTTATACTCACCACCATTATCTGCTCGAACACACTTCAACTTCTTGCCAGTCTCTTGTTCAACTTTAAGGTGAAAGTCTTTGAACACATCTAATACCTTATCTTTAGATTTCAAAGAAAAACACCAAACCTTTCGAGCATACTCATCAATGAAAGTAACAAAGTACAATGCTCCACCCAACGACCTATCTTTCATGTAACATACATCTGTATGAACTAACTCTAGAGGACTGGACTTTCTAGATGGAGGAGAATTTTGAAAGAAAACCCTATGTTGTTTACCATAGATATAGTCAACACAAGGTTCTAAGTAGTACCTTTCACCTCAGGGAGAAATTGCTTCTTACCAAGAATCTGGAGCCCCTTGACACTAATGTGTCCAAGCCTTCTGTGCCAGAGATCAATGGAGGCATTGTGAGTTGCATTCACCTCTCCATTCTTCAACTTTGCATTCAACACATACAAAGAGTTCAACTTCTTTCCTCTAGCCAATAACAAGATTCCCTCTAGTAATTGTCCAACGGTCACCACCTTCAGTGCTATGATAACCCTCATCATCAAGTTTACCAACGAAAATAAGGTTCAGACACATATCCAGAACATGTCTGACATTTTTCAAAACAAGAGTACAACCTGTATTTGTTACTAATGATACCTCTCCCATGCCGACAACATCGCATGAGGCTTGGTTGCCCATTCTTACACGACCAAAATCTCCAGGTGTGTAAGAGGTAAAGAAGTGTCTGTGAGGCGTCACATGATAAGACGCACCTGAATCACCGAACCAATCACTGTCGTGACTCGCAACATTAATTGTATCATCATCACAATACACAAATAACTCACTGGTAGTTACTGCTGCAGTAGTGTCATCATCACTTGATTTATCCTTCTTGCCTTTACCTTTTCTCGCTGCTAGTTCTCTCTTGAGAACCCTGCACTCCCTCTTAAAGTGCCGATTCCTTTGACAATGGTAGCAGATGACATCTTTCTTGGATTTTGACTGTCCCTTGGACTTGTCATTCCAATCACGTGCCCTCTGCTTTTACTTCTCCCTCTTATGTCTGACTTTTCTTTCACCAGAGCTTGCGACTCAGACTCAATACTCTGCTCTTTTCTTCTGACTTTTTCATTCATCACAGCCTCTTTGACCTGATCCAAGGTCAAGACACCATCCTGGGTTGAATTACTAATTGACACTACTAAAGTGTCCCAACTGTCTGGAAGAGAACTAAACAATAAGAAAGCCTGCACCTCATCATCCAACTTTAAACCTACATTCACAGCTTGGTTCAACAAACCCTGAAACGAACTCAAGTGCTCATTCATGCTAGCACCATCTTTGTACCTCAACCTGGTAATCTGTTTCAGTGCAGATGACTTATTGATGCCGGACTTCTTCTAGTACATATTCTGGATTTTTTCCCAAAGTTTATCAGCTTTTGTTTCTCCCGAAAAGTGATGAAACACACTTTGATCAATCTACTGTCGAATATTACCAATAGTCTTCCTGTGTATATCAGCCCACTTTTAATCAGTCATATAACTTGGTATACCTTCATCCCCTAAAATAGGATCAAACAAATCTTTGCAATACAACAAGTCTTCCATTCTAGGTTTTCACATATGATAATTGGATGAAGTTAATTTAATTATCGTACCAGCACCCGATGACTCTTCTATTTTATTGGTGTAATACCTCAACTACCGAACCGTAGCTCTGATGCCACTGTTGGGGATTTATCCAGAGGAGAAAACTCGACATGGAGCCCAATAAGTAAGATAAGACCCATCTGAACTCAAAAGCTCAAGCTAATGGGTTCTGAGTCCACCTTACTTATTAACTAATTCATGTGTCATCATGCCTTCGATGTGGGATCCACAATTCTCGCCACATGACCCTCAACAGTACCTCCCCAAGTGAACTCCTCTCCAATTGTCGGAATTTCAAAAAGCTCATACTCTGCCACACAATCGTTAAAATCCTCAATAGCATGATGATCCTGAACCGAAGATCCTGAATACTCTTCGATCGATCGAATGACATTAAAATCCCCAGCTAACATTCAAGGGACATTGCCATGATGCTGCTTGAAGTGCACCAAATTTGACCAAAGATACTCCCGTCTCTGTTTAGTAGATTTAGCATAGATAGCTGAAACAAAAACCTTTTCCGGAATCAAACCATGTTCAACTTCCATATGCAACACTTGCTCCGACTCGTCTAAAACCATAACCGCATATTCAGCCCGAAAAAAAACCCAAATTTTACTCGTACATGAAGAAAAAAACTTATCAAAAGCCAATTCCCTACAAACATCAGCAATTTGATCACTCGGCAACATAGGTTCCAAAATAATGAGAAAAGAAACCTTGTACATTCTTATTAAAGACTTCAATCTAGATTGAGAGGCTGGACTCTTTATGCCCCTAATATTCCATATGATTTGACTAAACATTGGGAAACATATTAGAGTTGAGCATTCAGACGATCTGAACGCCGTGACACTAGTTCTTCCTGTAACTTCAATCTTTCAGCTTTGGTCTTTCGCGCCCTCTTACCTTTTACAACAATTTCTCCCTGTGACGTACGTTCCTCCAGAGCATCATTAATCTCCCCTTCAGACCACCTCTTACTTTCATCACCAAAATTTCCTCTTCAGACTCATCATTCCGACAATATTCAACCTGCGCATCATCTTGAATGATCACCTTTTCAGAATCGACCGAGATAGAGTTCCCTTGATCCTCCTCCTTCAGTTGTAGTTCCTTACTCTTTTTGCAATCGGATTTTCAACATAATTTTCCTCCACTTCTTCATCTGATTCAGCAATAGTTTCAAGAGCCGCAAATCAATTTGATAGGGATTCATTGTTACTGGGCGAGACAGCACGCTGTTCAGAGACAGTGTGTTGTTCCAAAATAGCAAGCTGTTTTGATCCTTCGGTGAAGATCACCATCAATTTCAGAACGTGTTCCTCTTTTCTCCTTTTCTGCACCATTATCAGACACATCATCTGGAATCTGAGATTTTTCCCGATCAGTCAGTCCCGAAGAAGAGACCGCATGCCCTGTTTCTTTTGTCACCACACCCAAATTCGGTTGCCATTTTACTTTCGAGGGTTTCAACAACACCCCTTTGTTTTTCTTCACAGTTTCGACCTCTTTAGCGACTTCTTTAGATTTATCAACCTTTGGGGACGGTTGTGGAGCCATTCCCTTTCGATAGTCCTCCTTTTTGTGGCCAATTTTGCAATACTTGAAGCAATAAGAAGGAAGATATTCATATGTAAAAAATTGTTCGTGTTTTCTTCCTCTCTTCCCCACACGAACTGATTTCGGCAATTCCTTTGTCAAGTCCACTTCAACACAGAATCTTGCCACAGAGGGTCGTGTCATATTCAGAGTAGGAGCATCAATTTTCAATGGTGTCCTTATTGCAGTTGCCATGGAAAAAATCACCTCTGGTTTGAGATATTCAATCGGAAGATCGTACAAGGAAACCCAAATCGAAAAAATTGGGGGATCCTCTTCATACTTAAAGCCTGGAGTCCACTTCAAAATCCCCATAGAATAGCCAACCACGTTCCAGAAAGTTCTAATCCAGCATCTCTGATAGTCTTCCTCCCGATTAAATCGAATAAGGACATGCCTTGGATTCATCAAACCGAGCGTATAGGCTCCCTGAAATCCTTTTTTTTGAAACTCATTATGAAACTCCTCCATCTTTGGTCTTCCATACGAAAACTTTCCCACTAGACTCAAACGATGTTGTGCAACCAAACGCTCAAACTCATCATCCTCGAATTCTAGTACAGGCGAGCCGTCCACATATTTGACCTGCTTAATCAGTGAGGGCTTCTGCGGTTCCACAGGTGGCGGCTGCTTGAAGAAACTTGCAAAGATCCGGGGAGGCCCAGTAGAGGCCTCCCCAGTAGAGGCCTCCTCTTCATACTTAAAGCCTGGAGTCCACTTCAAAATCCTCATAGAATAGCCAACCACGTTCCAGAAAGTTCTAATCCAGCATCTCTGATAGTCTTCCTCCCGATTAAATCGAATAAGGACATGCCTTGGATTCATCAAACCGAGCGTATAGGCTCCCTGAAATCCTTTTTTTTGAAACTCATTATGAAACTCCTCTATCTTTGGTCTTCCATACGAAAACTTTCCCACTAGACTCAAACGATGTTGTGCAACCAAACGTTCAAACTCATCATCCTCGAATTCTAGTACAGGTGAGCCGTCCACATATTTGACCTGCTTAATCAGCAAGGGCTTCTGCGGTTCCACAGGTGGCGGCTGCTTGAAGAAACTTGCAAAGGTCCGAGGAGGCCCAGTAGAGGCCTCCCCTTGTTGATCGCCGGCCATAGCCGCCGGCAAAGCAGAAGAGAAGCAGTCGCGTGCTAGAGAGAGAGCGCTAGGGTTTCCGCAAGAGAGAGAAAATTCTTCCTAACATAAAGATTAAAAACATTTAAATGAAACTAATATTCCACATAAATATAAAATGTTAGCTCAAATAAAAAATAATATATGAGTATAATTTAGTGTATTGCAATTTAACTAGAGAGACTACATGTCATAATATAATCTATAAAAAAAATGTGTATACTTTTATTCGAGAATTTAACATTTTGTAACAATTATTTGAGATATTAATATATCTAACTATAGAGGAAATCTTACTAGCTTATTCCATATGATTTTAGTTTAAAATAAATGAATGGAGGTAACAATATGGTAATAAGTTGTTGTCATAGAAAATATGTTTAGATTCAAGAAGGAAAACTTATGTTTGGAGGATTTTTTTTTAAGATTTAATTATTTTATATTTTAGTTATTTTTTTAATGAATTATAATAATGCATGTTATAGTCTTTTGAGTTAAATTGTAATACACTAAAATATATTAATTTTTTTATTTGAGCTAATATTTTATTTTTATGTTGAATATTAGTTTCATTTAAATGTTTTTAATCTTTATGTAAGGAAGAATAAAATAAATCAGAAAAATAGTGTCTTTATTGCTAAACTGTATTATTAAAAAGATTAACATGCTTATATAAATACAATCATGTGTTACAACCATACAAACATTAAATTTTGCGGTAGAGTTTGAAAATAAATAATTTTTTTATACTCATATAATATACTTTTATAGTCATTAAAAGTAGTAAAGAGAAATGGAACAAATTAGAGAAAAATAAAATAAAAAAGTAAAAAGGGACTGCTTTGTTATTTTTATATATTTTGGGGCTATTTTTAAAATTTTTAAAAACTACTGGGATATTTTTGTATTTAAATTTATTATTTTATTAAAAAACTAACGGAGATCCGTTAATTTGGATGGAAAATGGGCCAATTGGACAAAATTGACGAAAATTTCGAACATTTGGATAAAGTTGGCTAACCGAAAATCTATTGGGTATGATTGACGACGAGCGCAAAACTTTGGGTAGAAACGATATTTTTTCTATTTTTCGTAGTTCACATTTTGAGAATATCATTTTTGTTAATTGTTATACTAACCTTATAGAAATATCATTTCATTTCATTTCATTCCACTCCAAAAAGATGTAACTAAAAGTTCAATTTGGAGGTAATTGTTCAATTTTATGATCCAAATAAGGACATATTGATGAATTAATGTGATCATATCAAGACAAAAAATAAAAATAAAATAAAATAAAAAATATGTCATTGCAATTTGAATGGATTTCTCCAAGAACGTATTATATATCATTAAAACTACTTAGAACACTACAAACAAGTTAACATTTCTTTTAACAATCAAACATATTACAATCCATCATTCGTTCATAAATGGATGGATAAATATAACACAAAGAAAAGAAAAAACGATCAAGTAAAAAGAATATATTACAGTAGAATCGATTCCATTAAATTTCCACAGCATTTCGAACGACCACATCCTCAAGATATCGAGAATGTACAAACTGCAAATATAAAAAACCAATCTTAAAACATTACTAAAGGGATTATTACTTCTTCTTTTTAGATGCTTTTCTGAGGCAGAAGAGCAACCTTTTAAGAACATGGGATGACCTTAATAATTTGAGAATGCTCATGAAAAAATCTATTGAAGAAATGCTTACGATGATCTACAGGGGAAGATATACTGAACATTGAGATCACTTGCTAGCTCCAAAAGAACCCCACCGAACTTAAAATACGGTGAAATCACAATAGCGTACATATATATATGTGATGAGAATCTATGTAAAGATTTGGAGAAATATATATTATCTTGGTTGGTTTTATTTAATTCGTTTCTTTTCTAATCTTGGAATTTTATTAATCAGAATGAAAATTAGCTTGAGTTAATGTATGTCGAATTAGAATATAATTTATAATCGTTGTACTAAACAAAATGTTGGAAAAAGAAAGTTTTCAATCAATAATTTACACGACGTTTTCCAATCTTCCCTATGAGAGCACATGTAGTTGTCAAATGTACTTTACCGTTTGAAGCCATGAATGCATCTCCAATTTTTTAAATTTTTATGTAAATGAAATACAAAATTGGAAATGGCAATACACTTTATATAAACATTCTTCAAACCTTCTTAAGGAGTTAACCACCTCATTAATTACATAACTATACATTTTATATAAACATGTTTCAAATAGACTGTTTTCGTGGAAGATTTGTAAGTAAGAAACATTCACATATCGGCATGTCAAGACCCAAACTAGGGCCTAGTGGACATGCCATAAGTACAACAAAGATCTTTCTCCAATATTATACAAGTAAGGCATTTACTTCTTTTTAACTGTTTGAGACACTAAAATTTTTCTCGAAATGTCTAACAATTTCTTTTTCTAAATAACATTGTACTAGGCGTTACAACGGAAACTAACCAATTATAGCATTCATAGAAATTTTCTTCTAACACTCGGTTGCACATGAAAAGCTCTACCATTCTTTCTCATCAAACTTCCTTCACAATTACCATCACCGCTGTCACTCGAGTTATTTTATGGGGGGTCAGTATATGCATATTCAAATACTTACATAAATATAAAAATATTTCACGGAAATATGATCATTTCAAATAAATATTTCATACTTTTCTTTATTTAAAAAAAATTGAGACATATCTATATACTTTATTGGCGTAACATGTGCCCAGTTCTGGATTTAAGGCCTCCAAAAATTGGGACACTTTTAACCTCAAGACTTTTCCAGCCCATCAGTTACTTTGGGGTTTGGGCGTTTCATCTTTTTCACCCCTTTTTCATTTTCATTTGAATTTTCGCTTTCCAGTTTTTTCATCCACTTTTGTAATTAGTTAGGATTTAGAATTTCCAGTTTTTTCATCCACTTTAACATTCATTTTCGTGATCACTACCACAATACCGTACGTGCATAAGTCTCAACTTTAAATCATAAATCATAAATATTTATCACATTCTGTGCATACCAAAAAAAAAAAATATTTAGTCTACATAAACATTTAAACAAGCGTGTATTTCGTGCGAGGGAACGCACCTTAATTTAAACAGTTTCCTCCCCTTCGGAAAAATCATGATTCTTTCTTCCACCCACCTTAATCTTAAATAATTTTTATAGACTTAAATTAATTTATCTTTTATAATTTATTTAATAAGACTAGCCGTTTGACTTTGAAAAATTAATAAATTAATTGTTTGTAATATTCTAAAATTAATAGAATCTTGGAATACTTAATCATGTTATAAAATATCTTTAAATATTACTATAACATTCACTAGCCCTATTATGTAGTAAAAATTATCAAAACTTACTATTACTAAAAATTACCTTAATGATAACTAGAAACTTAATGCATATATTATTTAAATTCCACCTATCCATGAATTAATAAATTTTAACATAGAAATTAAAATATTACATACTAGATGTTAAACCCGTGCGATTCACGGAAATTATCACAACACAATATAGTAAAATTATTAAAAAAATATATATATAAAAAAATGTTACAAACACAAATGATGTTAATGAGTTGTGATTATACAGATAATAATGTGAAATTATAAAAACTCCATATAAATACAAAAATATAAATATTGCATATCATATGAAATTAAAAACTTTGTAGATTGTGAGAATGTTTGATGATGGTGATGAAAGTAGAGGTTATACATAGTAATATGAAAGAACTAAACAAATTAAATTTCATTTGACACAAATTGAGGAATGCGATGATTGTTGTT